GTTGCTGTTACCTAAATGCACATTGGGAGGAAGCACAAAATGGAGTCAAGTGACGTTTCAGACATTTCAGTCCCAGGTCACATCTTGAGAAAATTGCTGAAATAATGGAGGGGGCATTTTTCAAGCAGAGCTGCAGCTCCAACAGCTATGTTTACTTTAACGCTTCACTGGTGACTTCTGATTGGTTGTCATGACCTCATCTCACTGTTGCACCTAGGATGTTGCAACAGTGACATATACATACCTTTCTTGTGGAAAAAATGAGAATAAACACAACATGTATCTTTCAGAGAAGATGAATGGACAGTGGTCTGTCCATCTTAACTATGGGCAGATGTAGTTTATAACTAAAACACTTTGGGTTTCATTTCCCTTGAGGATGAGCACCTATCTTCTTTCAAACCAAGCAGATAAAATGCTGAACTTGAGAAATATGATTGATAAGAGCCTTGCCTGAAGACCAAAACAGGTAATTCCATAGGTCAAAGGATTCTACTCTGGCCCCTGACCTTTTTGGTCACATGTGGCTTGCAGTATTGGCAGGTTAATATGCACAACTGAGTATTTTCACCTAATTTTTTATTTACCCAACCACAGGAGATTTGAAAGGATGTAGGATTTGCTCCTATTTTCCATCTTCCATATACTTTGATAATTAATAGGCAAATTAACTTGGATAAGTCCTCAGTTTCAGCAAGGTATCATTGGAATTGAAACTACAGTGTGTTTTTTACCAGACATTTAAGAATTTTATCTATTTGTAGAATGTTCTTGATAAGTACTTTTCTATACTGAATTTAATTTCTTTACTAAGTTTCCTCATTGGTTCTTTGTGTTTGGCACCAATTTGTTTTAGACCTCTAACCTAAGCCATCATTTGTTGATTGAATGATAAATGGATTATTATTTATTAGTAAGTGCATCCATGGACTTCAAAGTCAAGGAGACCCAGAGGCCTGTGTATTCTGTTTAAATCACAACAAGTACTCATGCTGACTACAATGCTACATCTAGCAATAAAATTTTGAGGATTTCTGGTTAAGATCCCATGGTTTATACCTTATAAACGCAGGTCTAAAAATGAAACTACAGTTCAAACTACAAAAGGGTAGAAAATGGAATGATATAAATTACAGAGATAAATATCTGTCCTTTTGATTGCTTTCTTGATCTTCTACTAGACTATGATCAAACATAACAGTTAACTGGCAACTTTATGTATGCTTTGTCTCTTGTAATGTTGAATATTGGAAATGATTTGGGTAAATCATGAAAGATGCCAGAAGTTTTATTTAGTTGTAGAATGTTAGATAATCAGTTTGATCATTTTATCTTGTTAAAGATAACAGAAGTTTCCTTGTATATTTGAAACGACCTAACGTTTCATCTGATAAGGAATTTAGCATGCTTAAGGACTAATTAAATATAAAAACAGTACTTTAATATAAAATACTCAAGGTTCTAAGAGTGGCACTACACAGTTCTTTTATGAAATTATATTCGATCCCTGATTTTGTAGGGTAGTATCGTAAAACTTGATGGATACATTTGTTAAAGGTCAAAGTAGGAGCTCGCTCGCTCTCTCTTTTTTTTAAGTTATTTCTGTATGTACTGATTGAATTACTGGGAATAGAACTAATTCTGATTTTCTTATAGATATAAATTGAAGTTACTCTATTTAAAATGGTTAAATGAAACTATTGGTATGTTATCTGCTTTATTTCACTATACGCTTTGACTCCTTGGTTTCCATATATTAATGTTTACATGGCAAAAAATCTTTGTAGCTCTATTATATAGAGGGATTTTTTTTTATAATGCCTATATGTGACAGGAGAAGATGAAGTTTTACTACATATCTCTGGCAGAGCATGTAAATGGGATAGTTGACTTTATTTTGTTGCTCCAGCTTTCTCCTATTCATTATAAAACGGTTATGAATGGTCTCTATGAATATTGTATTAACTAATTTATCAGGAAAACTTTAATTGAAAAATGTAAGTTTTTTACAGAAGGATAATTGAATTTGCAACAAAGACATTTATTAAAATTAGCTCTCATTTCTGCAGAAAATATTCCTGAATATTTCTCGATTGTTATTCCATTAATTAATCTGGTACTATGAAATATCTAAATGGTAAAATGTTTTCTAAATAATTCAGGTGTTTAAAGAGAAACATTCATTGTTTAAATCTAAATGATAAAAATTCTTTAATTGATTTATATAGTGGTGATTTAAAAATAGGATCATATTTTATCTGTTGACACCTCAGTGAAAAATTGACATTGTGTCTTTATAAAATTGGACAAATGAGTCATGTAATTTTCAGTTACATAATCGATAACTTAGACAAATACTACTTTGATGATTTATGTAAAATAAATCATCAATAAATTTGTAAAATATTTTATAAGGCTTTTGTCTTTTTTTTATACTTATTTAGATGGGATATGTAAAATTTCAGAGTCCATTTAAAATCAAATAAGCACAATACTTTTTCAATCCATGATTTCCAAAAATTATAGTAAGAACTTCTGCTTATATAAACCTGATATTATGAAAATATTTCTAGTGATTAAATTTATAAATTAAGGTGATCATTTTATACTTCTAGTGACTATAAATTTTGTCTGGAGTTTACCTTTACTTGGAATTCATTCACTGTGCAAAGATGATGCTCACATTCTGTCAATGTATTTAAGTCCCACTTCGGTACCTTGTTTGAAATTTTTTGTGTTATCATTAAAATGTAGTATATCAATATTTTTGTCTCTAGGAATTCTAAGATTCATTTTGGGCTTGTTAACTCTAAGTCATGTTGTGTGTGTGTGTGTGTGTGTGTGTGTGTGTGTGTGTGTGTGTGTTTAAAGTTCTATTCACTCAGAGAAGGCAGGGAAGAAACATGACAGGAGACCACTTACTCACGGTACAGAATCTAGTAAGGAGGCAATTTTCTTTTTGGCCTATGGTGACCTTTTTTGACTATGTTCCTTACACCAGAGACAGTGCACTGAATGCCTCTATTTCACCCTGCTTAGCAGAGTGCAACAGTGTTCTTTAACTTACTTTTGGTGGGAGGAGAAGTTATAGCTGAAATTTGAGAAGGGCGTGAAAAGTTGTAAGAGGCACAAGGAAGAGGGGTAAGAACTTATTTCAAATGTGATTTTAATAACTAGTCAAGTGTGTCCAACTGTAGAAAATCACCAAGTGACAATCTGTCTACCTGACAGTGATCACAATGAATTACAAGACTTTTGAATAGCTATACAGATTAGAATGAAGCAGGACCAAATAAAATTTCTTTTGTTGGTAAAACTTTGACCTACCAGCTAAGAAACTTAAAAGAAAAACCCTCTTTTGTGCCTTGATACAGAACATTTAAAATATTTTACAAATTTAAAAATTTGTAAAATATTTTATAAGGCTTTTGGGAGAGAGGTATTTATCTAAAAGTTTTACTTGAACATGTATTGATAAACATGGGATTTTGTTAATTTGGTATATATTATTACACAGTTTTCGTATATGTAAGACAACTATATCTTAATTAACAGTCCTATCACTGAAATCAGAACTTCGGTGATCTGAAAATCTCCAAACCATATGATTGTTTTAAGACAATAATATCAAGTGATTAGGGGAGTAAAATTGAAACAATCCCAGTGAAGTTTGTACATAGTTTGGGAAACCAACTGTTAAAAAACAAGTATGCGTGGCAATGTAGCATATTTAAGAAAAAGATAATTGAGTCTATGCTAATACTGGTTTATTATTACTGCTATGAGTTTTTTAAATCATTTTTTATGGTCGGTTTGGTAAAAAAAGAATTAAATTTTAAACTTGAAGTAGAAGCTTCTACATAGTTTTAGAAAAAGTGTATGCTTTTTATTTAGTAAGGATGAAATTTTTTTAAGCTCTATTTTCCAAAACTCTTAGATGTATTTTATCATAATACAAACATACTATAAGCATAACCTTACAGGATTTTACAAAGCAAAACTGAGACACCCACAGTACAGAGTTGAACAGAAAAGACAAGCTATAAATAGCTTTAAAAATTTGTGTTGCATGTGCTTGTCAGTGGTATTGGTTTAGCCTTTTCTGTTTTCTCATGGTTAGATTAGTCCATTAGTTATATAACATAAATACCAAAACTTTCCTTAATTATAAACATAGAAATGTTTACCTTGCCAGAAATAAGTCACACAGGAAAATGTGTTTTAAAAACCTTTTAAAAATATTTAGTAGCTCAATAAGCTGTATTTTAAACTTTAGAATTTGTTTCCTGGTACTAGTTCTTTGTAAAGAGAAATAGTTATTATAATTGAAAAATGAAAAACATTTTAGGATTAAAGAATTGCTGCCATACGTTATAGTTACTTAGTTTGTTTTATGATTTTTGTGGCCCCTGAAAGAAGTGAAAAAAATACGAAGTACACAGGTAGATATTATATGTTTTTGCTAGTATAGACATGTGAATCTGTAGACTGTTAGATTGGATTTATTCCCCTTTAATTACTTATTCTTTTTAAAATTTGAACAAAATTTTTAAAATTTGAATAAAAAATACTCATAAAGAGCAATTATAAAATGAAGAAAACCTAACAAAATGCGGTTTGAGTTGTAAACTTCAATTTCTAAGAGGTTATTTTCTCAAATTATATAAATATTAATGTAGCTTGAGAGCATACTTGTTATTCAATAATATATTTCAGTCATTTTGGGTTCTGGGAGATTTGAAGTACTTTTTAAAAATTTTTAAACTTTATGATCTTTGTTATAAGTTAGTTTTATTAAAGATCATCTATGCTTGTTGACACACATAATACACACAATTTAAATGACTTTCTGTTGGAAAATTAGAACAAGCATTTTATAGTAGTATTTTAGTGAATATGCTACTATATTACATCACTTACTGTGAGATATTAAGAATGTTTTTATGAATTGAAATGGTTCCTAAAATTAAATTATCCTGCCTTCTTTGTTTTCAAAACAGGAAGGATATGGAGTAATAGTACTGAATCCCAATGAAAACTATATTGAAGTAGAAAAGCCAAAGACACACGTACAGTCATCTTCTGATAGTTCAGATGAACCAGCAGAAAAACGGGAAAGAAAAGATAAAGTTTCTAAAGAAATAAAGAAACGACGCGATTTCTATGAGAAGTATCGTAATCCCCAAAGAGAAAAAGAAACGATGCAGTTGTATATCAGAGTAAGTAATAAGATTTTCATTATTTCCTTTCCTTTCCTTATACTTTATTTCACATAAATTGTTTTGTTTGTTTTTAAAAAGAAGGTTTTAACTCTCTACTTTTTAACCATTTATATCCCATGGATGTTACTTGGATGAAGTGTTTTCTGTTTTTTTATTTAGAATCACAAAATTCTTATTTTAGTGTGATATTTTATTTAAACCTCAAAAGCAGTTAATGCACTGTACAAAACATCAGTCTTCATCTCGGGTGGTAATAGTTTTTAATGCATTGTTTTCCTGCAAGCAACCATACATCACGGTGTCTCAGTTTAACTTCTGAAAGCAGATGGAGGGAGGAAGAGTAATTAATATAATACATATTAAGTGAGGACAGTTTAGGGATAGTATAATGAGGGAACTATGTCCTTTGCTCTTTTTTTACCAAGTGAACCTTTGCGCTTTGTAATGTTAGCAGCATGGGATCGTTACAGCAGTGCTGCCTAAGGAGTCCTCATTCTGTAAGGGACACAAACAATTTTATTTGCACTTTGACACATTCTGCTTGAGATACAGACTACACTATATATATGGGACAGATACTTAAAATTTTCAAAGTGCTTATTAGGATGCTAGAAATATAAGTTAAGAATAAAGCATGTCAAAAATGGTTCTGGGTAAGTAAAATAGTGACTATATGTTCTTCAAAAGAGCAACTTAGAACATTTAAACATAGCTAAATTAGTGTTTATAAATTATATTGCAAGATAGTAAAATTTCAAATTAATCAACTTTAACTATTCTTATATTTACTTTAAAAGCTCACTAATATAATATTTCATATCACTTTTGAGGGGAAATACATGGCTAAGTCTCTTTATTATACTTTTAGTTCATGGCATAATCACTATGCTTTTGGGAATTTTGTACTCCAAACATTCAAGACATTTGGTTATAGGTCAGTCTGTTGAGCAAGTTATGACAGTAAAGCAGTAGTAAAAGCAGGATATAAATTTCCAAGACCCCCCAAAAAATGTATCCAGACCAAGAATACCCAAAGCATATCATACAATTAGTTAAGCAAAAGTTGGGCAGATTGTAATCTTTAAATTTCTGGAAAGCATCTCACTATTAAATATATTATTTGAAAAACAAAACAGTGATTAGATTTAGATCAATGATTAGCTCGCTTGTTCTAATGTGGCTATATTTACCACCTTTCTTTCCTATGATCACATCAGGATCATGATGTCACCTTCTTCTTGATCAGTTGTCATCAGTTTCCTAATTATATGAGCCAGTCTGTCAACCACTACTTTAGGACAGAGTTAAAGAAGAATTACCTCTGATATCTGGATTCCAAAAATGAATTGTGTCAGTTTTTGAAATATACAGATCATTAAGGGAATATATTCACTTGCTTATATAATGCAAACCAAAGTGATTTTCTATATTGTTTTTTATTTCTTCTTAAACAGTTTATTTGCCTATGATATGTACAGATTGAGCATCTATTTCTGACATCTGTCTTGTAGGTTTTATTTCTTCTTTTCTGTTTTCTGTTTATCTTGTCCCCATTGCTTTGGTTTTTTTCTTTTGTTCTCTTGTATGTGTGCATTTTCTTTATTCTTTTTTTCACATCCATTTCATTTACCCTTCATCAACTTTTTTTCTTACACCAAGGGAAAAAATATTGTTCTGTTGTTTTACTGTTTTTTTGTTAAGATCTGTTCTCTTTCCCTTTGTCTTCTTTAATTCTTTTAACTCTTTTATACTTCTGCATTTTTACTTCCTCCTTATCATGTCTTTTAGCCTCTTTCTTGTGCTCATTCATTTATTGATCAGTCAAGGTTCCTGTCAAAACACTGAAAGACAAAAATAGATTCATGTACGTAATATAACTTTATACCTGATAGTCTTAGCTGTGGAATGTTATTTTTCTAAATAAATGCCCTTTCACTTAAAATCTTCTGTAATTGTGCAAAATAACAGAGTTACGATAATATTCTTCAAACATACTTCTAGATAATAAGGTATGATCTTGTAGTGGGGAAGAGAACAATGGTTCAATTTGTGTAAGGTGCATTAATTCTTAAGTAACTTTGGTCCCCGGGAGGAGTGGCTTCTTCTAGTACTCTCCTTCCTTCTACACGTCTCCAAATAGCAAGTATTTGTGATTTTCAGATTTATGTGATAGGGGCAAATTAACTTTTATTTATATATTTCTTAACCAGTTACATTTTGAAATTGATCATCTATTCTTTGGAACAACCCAGTGAGGCAGGTGTATCAGATAGTTTTATCCTTATTTTAGACGTAAGAATCTGATCTGCAGATGGCCCTTTGTTGTCCAGGATCACATAAGTAGTAAATGATGTAACTAAGTGTTGAAACCAAGACTTCTTTCTAATTGTAGATTCTTGCTCCCTTCCCTGTTTACCACATTGTTCTAACTGGTTGAAAACAAAATATGTATCTGAAATAGGAAAATTAAACCAATTATAACAAAAGTATGATATATAGTAAATTATATCTGATGATTATATAGATTTTGAACAGGTGTTATTTAATAGATACTATCAAATGTCTATAATTTAGTTATAAATAATTAATAACTAATAAATATATTGTTATGTATAAAACATATATGTGTATATATATTCTCTTTTAATAGGATCACTAATGTAGATCCAGTTTTACAGAAGAGATAACTGTGGGTCAAAACCTTCTAATTTTCCAGGGTCACAAAGTTCCTCATGAGGTCAGGGACTTAGTCTGTTTTTCCCACTGCTGGGTACCCAGAGCCGTCATAATAAATACTTTTAGAACAGAGCCTTCACAATAAGCTTTTATTTGATAAATAAGGTAGTAGAGCCAGGATTAAAATTCCAGACCACTACCACTTTTTTTTTTATGTGTCCTGCATCATTCAAGTATTCTACTTGATTTTCTGTGAGGAAACATTCAAACAAACCAAAATGTTAAACAATTATATTGTTAGTGCCCTACTCAATCCAATAGCTGATAATACATTTTCAAAAATTAATGATAAAAAGTAGCTATGTCAAAATTTGACACCTTGATTGACCTATACATTTTCATCTAAATAAATAAAAGTGGGATATCCTGTTTTCTTTTTTAGCTATGTTATCATGATGCTGAAATTATGGGTGAAAATGAAATATTTCATGCTAATCAACTGCTCTTTCTGTTTTACACACGTTGTTTATAAGAGTACCGCCAAGTTGCCATCCTTGATCCAGCCCTGTACATACTTCGTGCTTTGTGGGATCTGTAGCTCTAATCTTGTTCTTTCCCTCAATCCAAATTCTATCCATGTTGTAGTGCCCAGCTAAAATCCCACCTTTCCCTCTCCATAATTAATGACCTCTCCTTACTATGACACATGGAAGTTATTATGATTAGTTAACTTATGTGGAATTTATCATGTGCTGTCTGGAAATTTCATGTTTTTGTCTCATTCTTAATATTATCAGTTTATCTTTCATACTTTCTATTAGATCTCCCCACAGTCCTTTAGATCTTTGAGCATGCTGTATAGATTTTAGAATTGCAAGTCAAATCTTTTAAGAATAAGCAGATATGAGCTGGTTTTTACAATAGTATAGAGCATACTGTGAGGGAATTAGGAATTGATACAAACCCACTCAATAGAATCTAATCCCCAGAAGGAGACCAAAGCAAAAAGACTAGGCCTTAGTCTAGACATACCTAGATAATGTGACCTGAAGTACAGGAGTAAGAGTTATTCTAGTATCAAATTAGAGCAGAAGAGGTCAAGTGCTCATACTAAGGAAAAATAGACCAGTTAAAAGAACTTTAAAGTAGATAGATGAAATATAGGCAAAAATGACTTGATGCTGATCTAAATATTGAGCTGGAACTGCTTAAATATCTCTTCTTTAAGAGATTTAGTTGTGGTCTGTGGTGACAAGTAGAGAAGGATTAGACTCAGAATGTTAAAAAAAAAAATGCTAGGAGTGGAGGGGGAAAGGAAATTACATGGCCACAGAAGGAAAAATCCAAATGTGGATAAGACATTTACAAAATAGGAATCTTGGCAGAGGCTGGCATTACACATTTGAAGATAGTCAAATATTTATAGATTGATTGCTTGTTGACATCCATCAAAAATCTTATTCCTTAACATGCGAGATATTTGATGTCTAGTTTTCGGACTGATTTTTTTCAGAAATCATGTGAATTTTTGCAATTGTTCAGTAACAGCCAACTCTGATACACTGAAGCTTTCTTATAAGAAAATGTGTTTTTGATGTTCTGACTTGGGTTATGTCCAAAATATTGGTGAAGACTAATAGATATACTGTCTTCTCTTCTGTACCCCTTGTCCTGTGTGCTAATGCTTTAGCAACCATATTCATTTGTTTTATATTACAATCTATGATTATTTAATCTCTGGATTTTATTTTCCTTGTATATTCAACTTGAATTTTCTTTTTCTCTGACATCTATTAAATAGACATAATCTCCTTGCAAATTTTCACAAATATCTACTATACACAGGCAGACATAAAGAGAATTCAGGCCTAAAATTTTAGGATTAGCAAAGTATAATTTAATTTTACTAACTAAATGCATATAAGTAGATATGACTAGCTATTGGATTATGTAATACCTTTCTGATGCATTAGGAACAGAGCCTGAGAGATCAAAGTACTTATTGTTTCATGTGGCAACTTTCCGTAACTATGAAATAATGTACTTGCTGGCATCTATTATGGTTTATTAAGGGGATTGATTTGGTCTAGGCAATAAACATCATGTCAGACATGCCTGGCAGAAAAACCTGCTTAATATGTTTTGTAATAAGATGGAATTTTTTGTTCTCAAAAACATCTGCCAACTGAATTCAAGAGTGAAGACAGAAAATGTCATCAATTTAGTGGTAATCCTATAAATTTAGTTTCTTTTTGAGCAACACATATAAAGACACACAAAATTCCCAGTGTTAATCACCACTGGTTATAGTACTTTATAAA